TATTGGGGAGCCAGAGATGGGATTGAGCCAGGAGGGAGGGAGGAAAAACAAGTTATAAAAAAGCTGAATTCGGATACAAGTTTTTCATTGTCTCCACTTGGAAATGTGGTACTCCACCAGATAATCAAAACTCCTCTTTATATCCAACGATCTGATGGCGGCTGCATCCTTACTTGGTGAAAATGCAACTCTTTCTACCTGTAAGGGATTAACACAGCTGCAGGGGACCATACTTTGATATTTTGAATCAAAGAGTTCTTAAATTTATTGTTGCCGTCTTATCAATAGAAAGTGATGTATTTACTTATTCTAGAAATTGTTCCAAATTCGAGTAATTACTTTCCTTTTAGACAAAAGCGGGAAGGTTGATCATAAATTGGTCAGGGAGTCTGCCAAAATGCTCTATGGACTGATTCATGCTCGTTACATTTTAACAGATGAAGGTGTCCTGGCTATGCTTGATAAATGGCACGAACAGGAGTTCGGCGTTTGTCCACGTTTCTACTGTGAAAAACAACCTGTGCTACCTATCGGTAAAAGATATTTCATATTTTTCGCAACTTCACTTATTTTCACTAAATGCTGGGAATTTTGGAGCAAAACTGTCTCTGCGTATCTTGAAGCTCGTGCTATCCAGCTACTTGATTAAGGTCTTTCGGATGCACCGGGTGAATCAACAGTGAAAGTGTATTGCCCTCGTTGTCAAGATATTTATGTGCCAAAATCAAGCAAACATCAAAATATCGATGGCGCTTATTTCGGGACCGGATTCCCGCACAACCTTTTCCTCGCACATCCCAAAGAACGACCGTTAGCACCTCGAGGTACTTTTTTTCAGCAGTATTCCTCGTGGTATTACGACCGTAGGAAATTGAGATATAGGGCCAAGGTTAACGAGCTATAACGAAACTGTAGATGTCCTGGGATGTCCTGGCTTCAAGGATCATTCCAAATATCAAAATTAACAAGTGTCTGAGCCGTTCACATAACATTATCACTAAAATGGGTTAGCCGCAGTGGAGTATTTGTCTGTGTGAAAGATTCGCTTTTCAGTGAGCACTTTCAGTCAAGGGCCCTTATTGCAAATCATTTGAACCTCAAATTTGGGTTATTCAGCCTGATATAAGCAAAACACCAATAGCTAGGTAAAACAGCATCTTGTTCCTGCAGTAATTATTTGGTCGCAGCGACGACTGTCAGAGTCTCAAAGTGGGGCTGATGAATGTATGCGTACGTACGTGTGATTCGAAGCTGAAAGCGAGAACTTGAGATAAATATTAGTGCTGGCAAGTATTTTACCATTCGGAGAGCCTGTTACTGACTAACCCAAAATGAAGCCTGTCTCTTAACGCAGAGTTGGGGAGTGTTAATGATAATTATTTCAAATAACTACTTTTTTCCCCAATGACATTCTGTGTATTTCAGTTCCTTCTTATGCTCAGAAAGAACGCCGTAAGCAAGAAGAAAGTGTGATCCTAGCGAACAAAACTACCACTTAATTTTCTGCCAGCTACAATGCAGTGAGATACCTCGCTCCCAGTAATAATATCTCAAGAGAAAATTTACGTTTTTTTTGGTTTAAGTTTATAAATACTCCATTCAGTGTTGCTGTGCTCGATTATTATGTTGAATTTTACTCCGCTCCCCTTTGCTGCACTCTGTCCGTGTATTACCTGATACCGTGGAAGATGCCATTGTAGCCGCATAATCAAAACTAAAAGTTGTATCCC